TGCACCTCGAAAATCAGTCCGTCTTGTGATTCACCTTTTGCAGGAACAAGCCTCGAAAATCCATCGAAGCGGCATTTCAGATTTCACCCTCTGCCCTCGACCCAAAGCAAGTGCTCGGTGTGTGCTTGGCCAGAGCCTCCGAAGGGCATCCGGCCGTGGGCACGACAGACCTCCCCCACGGAGGGCCCCCCAGTGGGGCGCAAAGCGGCCAAGAGCCTCGTCGTCGTCGCCGTCGCCAGGTCAGACATACGAAGACGTGCTTTCATCAATCCACGGCCCAAAGATTAGGTCGGGCAGGTCTGCCTACAGGCGGATGTTTGAGGAAAATGCTCGCGAACAGCCAAACATATAAACAAAAATCGTCCCCAGACTAATTTTTTGGCAATTCTTGAATAATCCTCCTGTAGAGGGACACGCCCGACTTAACCCAGAGAGGTCCCGACCCCTCCCTGGGGAGCAGCACGTCCCAGACCAACTCTTGATGACCCTGGGGCGCGCCAGCGGCCACCCAGGGCCAAACTGCGAAGAAGCGCCGTGTTTAAAAAGCTCACATCGTAAGCTATACAGGTCTATACATGTCTAGCTATCTCCTGAGAGGCTTGGACAGCAAGGGGAACGGAGGAAGAGGAGGAAGACGAGGAGGAGGAGGAGGAGGAGGACGAGGAGGAGGACGAGGAGTAGGAGGAGGAGGAGGAGGAGGAGGAGGAGGAGGAGGAGGAGGAGGAAGGGGATGAGGAAGAGAAAAAAGGTGAGGGAGGAGGAGGAGGAGGAGGAGGAGGAGGAGGAGGAGGAGGAGGGAGTAATTGGGAGGACTTCACCGGGATGGCATGGAACTGAGTGGGCGCCTCTGCCGATCGAGCAGGAGCAGCAGGAGGGGCGAGGCGGGGCCACCGCCGCCGACGCCGCCGCCAACCGCAGCCGCCGCCCCCGCGCCGGCCTTCGCCCACGCGCGAGCCCAGCGCCGGGGCGGCCCTGCGTCGGAAGACCTCGTAGGACGCCCGGCGCACGTAGAAGCTTCCCCGAGGCAGCGCCGCGTCGGGCGCCGCGGGAGTCCCGCCTGCGGAGGCGGGCGGCCCCGCAGAGCTGGGCCGTGCCATCCAGATCGTGACGGCATGGAGTGCAGCGGGCCGACGACGACGACGATGACGACGACGACGGCGTCGACGACGACGACGACGACGACGGCGACGGCGTCGACGACGGACGCCTTCCGAGACACCCGACGATGTGTGATTGTTTTATCCGCGGGCCCCAGGAGGTCCCGACCCCTTGTCGCCCCAGATCCGTGCCTGCTAGGCCCCGGGGGTCCGCAGGCAGCCCCCGGGGTAGCGAGAGGAGGGGGGAACTCCGCGATTGAAAAAACAGATCGTCGAATGTCTGGCCGGACGTGGTTTCCAAGCCAAAAATCTGGCCTCCGGCAGACGTTCGGGACAACTTGGGTACCCCCAGGACGCTCTCAACGAGGCGCAGCTGCTGCACAGCATCCCGAGGCTGCAACACCTCTGGGAACCGACGGAGACGTCCGAAAACCTCAAACTTCGAAAAACGAGAGACTGACGTCGAGCCGCGGGACTATCACACCTTGATCCAACACTGTCCCCAGGCGAGGGGTCGGAATCCCTGGGTACGGTCCAGAAAAGGCCTAGCCTTCAGCGCAGATCGCCTTCGGCAGAAGCTGGCGAAAAAGCCGACGGAAGCAGGACGGGGGCGGCTCCGCTGGCTCAGGCAGGCTACAGTGAAGACCGGCGGAGGCGGGCGGAAGTGAAAGATTGGCCTTTCAAGGCGTGCTGAATTTTCAGGGCTCGAGGCTTCCAGGACGGCCCGTCTTCGGAGGCGAGCCCAGGGAGGGGAAGTGAGAGGGGCGGGCCTTCTCAGAAGGCTCAGGAGTCCCCGGGCCTTTTGAGAAGACTTCTGCGCCCTCCCCGAGGACACAGAAAACCTCTTAGAGGGCGCGAGGGCTTCTGGGAAGCCCCGCCGCCTCCTGAGAGGGCCTCCTCCTTCTCACTTCCCCCTCCTCGCACACCGCCGAAAAAAGTCAGGGTTCAGCGTTTCCAGGGCGGCCCACCTGGCCGATTCCGGAGACCCTGAACCCAAAAAAGTCGGCGTCTCGCTGTTGCTTCCGCCGCCCTTCCGCCTGCATTCCGCCAGCAGGCCCGCCGCCGCCTTACTTCCACCAGCCTTCCGCCGCCTTCCGCCGAGGGCGAAGAGGGAAGAAGAGGGAGGAGAGGAGCTGAGGGAGCAGGAGGGAGGAGGGAAGAAGAGGGGAGAGGAGGGAGGATGAGGGAAGAGGAGGGAGGGAAGAGGAGGGAGGATAGAGGAGTGAGGAGGGAATGAGCATGCAATAGTGCAGTGCGCACGACGATACCACAGCGAACTGAATCGTAGACGGCGGAGGGGTACAATGATAATCCTTCCCATTCACATGATTAACAGCAGACGCAGCGGCTGCAGGACAAGCCGCACCCATCCAAGCGATGGCGCCATCGAACTGGACTGCCATCGCTGGCGCACGAGGATTACGTGGTCACGGACACCAGCGAATATGTCTTTTCCAGCGCAATTTGTTTGGAGAGGGGGAGAGGGAAGGGAACTCGCGAAACACCAACCAACATCCATAACACGATGTCTCCAGAGTCTGGCTGTCGGCTGCCGAATTCACGCAACTAGGCAATGCCCGCCAGGCCCGAAATAAAAACCCTTCACCAGGGCAACGAAACATATACATGTCACGGAATCGATGCACGGAAATCCCGCTGGTCTAGGACCAGCCTTAAAGGAGGAGAGGAGAAGGAGGAGGAAGAGAAGGAGGAAGAGGAGGAGAAGGCGGTGGAATTGCCAGACAAAACAGTGAAGTCTCAAGGCCTTCCCGGCTCGGAGATCTACAAATCGAGCCCGCTGAACTGCAGAGTGCGTATGCAGGAAGGTCCCAACGGCGTGAGACTAGCGAGGCAAACCCCGATGGCATTTGAGAGGCCGAGTGGTGGTTGAGGCTGTCCACACGGCCAGGCCGCGTGGAGGCGGCAAGCCAGCGAAGGCAGCGCGGGCTGGCAACGGCTCCCTAAGGGGGGAGCGGCCGACCAGACCGGGCGGCACGTCGGTGGCCCAACCCCGCGTGCCGCTGGCGCAAGCGCCAACTCTTCGCGCAGGAGCGGCCGCCCCGGCGCGCGCGCCGTGCCACGACCCGGGAAGAGGAGGCGGGAAGGAGGAGGCGGAGGACGGAGGACGGGAGAGGTGGAGGGCGACTGCGCGCTCTGCTCGGGCGCTCGGGACCTCCACAGCCGCGGAAAGACCTGCTGGCGCAGACCGACAAGCCGGCACCACGATTCGTCGGAGGGAGGGGGACGAGGCGGAGGACGGAGGAGGACAGGGACAGGGGAAGGGAGGGGAGGAGGGCGACTGCACGCTCAAGTGGAGCGCCCGGGGCCTCCACGGCCACGGACAGACGTGTCGGATCGGATCCACAACGCGGCGCCACGGTTCGCAGGGAGGGGGACGAGGCGGAGAGCAGGAGGCGGAGGACGGAGGACGGGAGGAGAGGAGGGCGACCGCACGCTCGCGTCGAGCGCACAGGGCCTCCACAGCCGCGGGTGGACCTGCCGGCTCGGAGCCACCGATCGGCGCCACGATTCGGAGGGAGGGGGGACGAAGCGGAGGGTAGGAGGCAGAGGGCGAGGGAAGAAGGACGGGCCAAACGGGCCGCACCATTTTAGGTAGACGTGCCCCTGGCAGCGACAAAAATCTTTCAAAGATGACTATCTCGAACAGGCTGGACCTTGTTCGGGTGGTAGTGCGGCTCTGTACGGCCGCGGCACTGCCCCCTGGAATGAACTACAAAACGCGAGCGCTCAGTGCAAATGATCACGAGACCGTTTTTTCTATTGTTCGGCAATCGCCAATGTTATCCGGTGAGGGGGGAGGTGCTGGCAAATAACCCAACCTTTTCGCTTTGGGCAGCCCCCCGCGTATACCCGCGCGCATCAATACTGCGCACCCCCCTCGGACCTTCGCCACCGACCAGGCCAGATCGTCCAGAGGGGACGGGTCCCCACTTGGCCGCCATCCTCGGGACGGTGCCGCAGGGCCCGAAAGACATCCAGACTGCCACGAAGTCCCCCAGAGCCTCCATGTTGGGCACCAGGAGGAAGAGAAAGGAGGAAAGGGGGTCGGAGGCGGCCCCATGACCTCGCCGGCAGCGGCAGCAGCGACCTGGACCGCGGGGAGGAGGAGGAGGAGGAGGAGGAGGAGCAGGAGGAGGAGGAGGAGGCGGAGGAGGAGGAGGAGGAGGAGGAGGGGAGGAGGAGTCTGAGGGGTGCGAGGGGTGCGAGTCTGAGTGCTGGAAATAATCGATTCCCAGAGGAAGGCCTGGGCTCGCCAGGCTGGGATCGGACGGGGATCGCACCTCTCACTTGCACCTGCTGTTCTCAGACCTTTTGAGGGTCCACTCGGATGTCGCGGAGGCGTTGCACTCCCGACAGCGCCACCCAGCCCGATCAGCCAATACAGTAGGAGCTCTCGACCACAAGAAGCCTTCCACAAGAAACCCAACCCTCAGGCCTCAGGACGTCCACCGATTTTGGTGTGGGCACGTCACGCTTGCCATAGCAAGACCATCGAAACCCAAGAAACCCAGGGCACCCTGGAGGCAAGCAGGGTGTTTCTTGGCATGGGCTTCCACTGTAAACACAGCGGATGGTAGGCTTGAGGCTTGCGGCCACAGATCCGAAAAGGTTGAGGCGGATACAGTCGCGGCCTGGGCAGCTCTCCATTTTTCCGAGAGGGCCAGCCAGCGGGGGCATATTTTCGAGCTCATGGTGGGTCTGGGCCCAGGGAGGGGGCGAGGGAGAGAGGGAGGAGGGGAGACGGTGGACGCATGTTGTGTCCACCATCTCTCCTCCTCCCTCTCTCCCCCTTCTCTCCCTCTTCCCCCTACTTGGCGCGCCAGACGCGGCCCTGGCAACTGTTCAATAGCGCTCCCTGCCCACGCGCCCTTCATGGATGCACGGCTTTCGTATCGTATCGGTGGGTCTGGACCCAGGTAAAAAGAGGGACCGAACCAGCCACGTGGTGAAGCTCGAAAACTTCACACCAGACGCCAGCGTGCAGGCCGCGAGAAGAAACCATGCGAGAGTAACGCCTGGCACCATCCTGAACGAGAGTGAGATTGTCTCCCACGCCCTTCTCGCTGGGTGCGGGGCACTGTCTGGCGCCACAGCAGGGACTCATCTCGACCAGAGCCAGAGCCCGTCCACAGCCACGCAGGTCGGGGCTCGCATTCGCAAGCCCCGAGCCGTCGGTGCAGACGCGCTGTCACGCAGGGCCCCTTAGTTGCACCCCCGTGCAGCACAGGGTGGGCGGAAGGGGTGGGAGTGCGGAGATTGTAAAACAGGAGTCGATGAGCCAGCTCAAGGGTGCCCCAGTCACTGGAGAGCTCCAGAACCCCGCTGCCCGTTCAGTTCCCTGTTGTCCTGGACGTCTTCGGGAAGAGGCTCTAAACCGAGGTCCTCTGGTGGCTTATGTCAGAGGGAGCAATCGAACAACTGGTGGCCCAACGTGCCTCGACCACCGCAATCGCAGAAAGCACAGGTTGGCGACGATCGGCATCCTGCCTCTTGCGAGCAGGGGTCCACCGGGCCGATTCAAGAGTGAGTCGAGCACAAGCTCGCCGCACGGGTCCCCTGATGAAACATACACTGCTCCGAATGGCACGCCTTAGATACACAAATGCCCGAAGGCTTCAGATATATGGTTTCACATTCGTCGCATCTGTCATCATCCGATGCCATCCCACAGTTGTTGCTTGAACTCCAACGGCGGCGTGACCAGCAACGAAATGGTTTGGCCAAAGTCATCAACAATGCAGTGAGTCCAATGCATGCGCCAGGCCTCTCTGACCAGAGACAAAAATCGCAGACAAAGGAGGGAGGAGGGGGAAGGAGGGAGGAGGAGGGAGGAGGAGGGAGGACGGAGGAGGAAGGGAGGAGGACGAGGACGAGGATGAGGAGGGAGGAGGGAGGAGGGAAGGAGAGAGGAGGGAGGAAGAACAACGAGGAGGTCAGGTTTTCGAGTCATAACTCAGGCCTTCGGCGGCCGTTCGGGACGATTCTGGCACCCTGAGACCGCTCTCGGCGAGGCGTAGCTGGTGGAAAGCATCCCGAGGGTGGAAAACCTCGGAGAGCTGACTCGACCTTCGAACCTCGAGAGAGGGATTTCCCTGCTCCTCGCTGGATCCCCCTGCGTCTACAAGCGCCAGAAGTGTCGCCTGCGAACACCTGGCAGGTGGCAACACCGTCACCGTCTTCTACGGAATCCCAAGGCGCTGCCGCCCCGCTGGGCAACCCACTCTGGACTTGAAGCGGCACCGCGGTCGTGGGGTACAGTCCGCGCCACTACCTATTGAGGCGTTCAGACCGCTTTCGTAGCCCCCTCGGCTTGCACCTACGCTTGAGCACCACCCAACGTGCTTGCACAAAACATGCACGTCGGCGACAATGAACGGACCGGTCCGTGACCACCAAATGGTGCAGTCTGTCATCCGCTTCAGCAATCGGGTGTCCGCGCTGCCTGGCAGCATGCGTGGGTCGCGTGGCGGAAGAGGCACGTCGTCATCATCCTGCGTCTCCTCGCGCTGCCCCACGACCGCGGGAGGAGGCGATTCATCAGACTCAGATAGGCACGTGTCTACGACATCGCGGCCTAGACAGGACGCTCGGGCTGCGTATTCGAGCATGTCGAACACGACATGGTACTCATCTACGTGCGCCTGTCGGCACCATTCCGTGTGGGCATGCATGGCAGCTCTGAACTTCGCATACTTGTCGACCGTAGTGCTGCCGTCAAATGACCTGCGACCCATGGCAATTCTTGGGACCAGCGTCGCATGGGCCTGAACTTTCTTCACCTGCACTGCGCGCGGCCCGATGTCACACAGCTCATGGATGCAGTGCCAAATCTGCGCCCAGGGCTCCGCGTGCTTGTGCTCTGGGCGGGTGCACCATGACGCGCCTTATGCCACGCCCTTGGCGATGTTGGCGCAGTCCGTCCAGATAGTCACTGGGTCAAACGTGTCAGGCGGTGATTTATCAATACCCACCGCCTGGGAACCGACGTCCTGGCGCCCCAGCGGGCAGTGGATCTGGATATATTTCGGCCCCCTGGGGCCCGAATATGTCCATATCCACCGCCTGCCGAGGCTCCGAAAACTGACCCTCCAGGCGGTGGTCATGTACAAATTCCTGCCTCGGGAACCGCCGCCCTGAGCACGGACAAAACGGCCCATGACTCCGCCGTGAAAATGCCCTGGTCCGTCTGCGGCATCCGTAGAGGGCCGTGTACAGAGGGCAGACAATCCACCCCGATACTAACCACCCCGACACGCGAGGCCGTTTAGCAAACGCACCCCAAGAGGGAATCAAACAGGGCAAGGCTGTGTAATAAACGCCCAGGGCCGTTCAATAAACGCCAGTTGTACGGTCCGGGTGGTTTTCCCCCCTTGAGTATACT